TTTACCCATCAGAATATACGCTTAAGATAAATTGATAATGCTGAGTATCGGTGTGGATGTGAAACAACAGAAACGCTCACATGCTGTTAACAGGAACATAACCAGACACAACTCCTTTGAAAACCTGGTTTTATGGTATCTACTGAAGCTGGCATATCCATACTCTCTGACCCAACCATTCTCACAGATATATATCCGCAGAAATGCATGAATGAGGGCACCAGAAGACATGCACAAAAATGTACGAAGCAGTACCATTGTTAGTAGTCAAAGGCTACAAGCAACACAAATGTCTATTAGTAGTAGAATGGTGTAAATTATGGTATATATATAATGGAATTCTATATATGAATGAGAATGAACAAACTACCATGACATGCACAAATGTGGATAAAAGGTATAAATATAATGTTGAATGAAAGAAGAAATGAAAAGTATTGTATGACTCTACGTGACCTTCAAAAACAGGCAAAACTAATCTATGCTGATGGCTGCCTGAAGAGGGGACACTCTTGGAGAGTGGAAATAATGAAGGTAGCTTTTGGGTAATGGCAATACTCCATGGCCAGATTCTAATGGTGATCACATGGCTGTGTTCACTCTGAACATTCATCGAACTGTACACTAGTGGTAGGTATATGAGCTATACTTCAAATCACAAAGTTCACTGAAACAAGAGCAAAAACCCTGGACCAGAGGACCTGCATAACTTCAGTTGAGACTTAGCATTCATTTTTTGCAGGTTGCTTGATGTCTTTGTAGTTCTGGTGCTGTCTCCACCCGTAGTTTCCATTGCTTCTGTGTGTTGGCATGGTTCTATCACTTTCTTCTATTCGGCCCTTTGCTTTCAATCTAAACTTGATATATTCACCCTGATCCTTTATCTAATTGTTTTGCCCTTGGAGCTGATTTATCATTCTCAACTTCTGTTTCAATATTTCACTAATAATACCCCACATCAGGTTAGTTCTATTTCTTCTGTAAATTTTGTTACTGGCCTTGGTTTAACTATATTGCTTAAATTTTCACTCCTTCCTCATTTATGTTTTCCTGGTTTTGTCTAATGATTTTTATGTTCTTGTTATCAATAATTTCATAATTGCTATTAGATTGTTTGCTTAGCAACCTTTTTTCCCTCTCAAACCCACAACTTGAAAAACACACAAAAAAGCTTTCTTCTCTACTTTTCTGTGTAATGGGGCGGGGCTTGGGTTGTGGAATAACAGTTCTTTCTCATTCTTCACTTTCCAGCTCCAGCAGTGAAGAGCCAGGTGATCTAACATGTGATAGGAAAGGGGAAAAAGAAGATTCAAAAATGATAACTAAAACCAGGGCTTCCCGCGTGCCCAGAGTGGTTTAACAGATTAGTCTTCTTACAGATTTAGCTAAGAAGCCGTCTAACCTGAGTCCATTTATGGAACTATTTGGTCTAGCTTTCATTTTTTCTTTTTGGAAATAAATCCTCTAGACCTCAATTGGAGACACTGAAGAAAGCAAGGAGTTTGTAGTTTTTAAATCCATATGAAGGTTTTGGCCAGGAATTTTTCAAACACTGGAATAAATTTTTAATTTGGACTTTGATATCCAGACAAGCCCAGCTCATGTTCTCTCGGGTCTTCTTCCCAAAGACCAGACTTCAAACAGACACTGCTTGCTGTCTTTGCAGAGGCAGCAGAAAAGCACCACAGTAGCCATGATGGCCACAATCGGCAGAAAGCGCTGCACGCTCTGCCTGTCTGGGTGGGACCCCTGTATGCCACCTTGCCCTGGAAACCAATGCATCTTATTCTGCTGACCTGAAGCAAAGTTCCTCAGAGAATGAATGCGCACATAGACCATAAGGGCAGGAAATTCTGGGGACGTTGCATTTCTACCTGCGGGCCCTCCCTTGAGCATTCTCAATAGCACGGGGTTAGACTCTTGAAAGGAAAAAGGCAAATAAACGCTATTTTGTTTGGCTTTATTATTTGCTTCTTATTCTTTCCATTTATGACTTTGTCTTTTAGAGTCTGGACTGTGGAAGAAATAGATATGTTTCTTACAGATGAGACCCCAGACAACCTTTCATTTAACTCTTAGTTTAACTTCCTAAAACTTGACTGCCAAAACAGAGAACGAGAAGGAGAAAAAGGTAACTGCTTTTCTGTGACAACTACAGAGGCAGCTCGTTTCCTGTTGGAGACTTACATGGGAGACTATAAGTAATTGAAACTTAATACCCAGAGTCCCTCAGAAAAGTGACCACCCTGGGGCTGTTACCATCATTTCCTGTTAATTGTCACCCGAAATAACCAGTTGTGGAAATGGCACGGGCCCGAAGCAAAGGAATGTAGTTGGGGGAACGTCTAGGCCACTCGTGTTCCATAATGAAATACAAATGATTTAACAGCAGTACTGACAAGGTTCTCAAAATAAATCATTTCCATTCATACCACTTCAAATCACTTAATGTAATTGCCCTGAGACAGATTGGGGGTGCTGGCTGTTGGTTACCCAAGCTCTGGGACAACGCCCTCCCCACGTGACCTATGAGGATAAATTGCAGTTCTGACCTAATTTACTTCTCTTCCCTAAGGCTGATGGGCAAGTACTCTCCGTATCCCAGGGAAATCTAGAAGTTAAAGGTTACCAGAATAATTGTGAAGTCTTTCCAAGAATTCTCTACCTCCGCATTGACTCCGAAGTGGTCTCTCGAAAGCCTGAGTGCTCGCATGTGCTACTGTTGCTGGGCTAGACTAGTTTTTCTACCAAATCAAGTTCCTGGACAGATCTACTATGGCTTGAATGTTTGTATGCCTCCAAAATTCACATTGAAACTTAATTCCCAATGCAATAGTATTAAGAGGTAGGTCCTTTTAGAAGTGATTAGCCTTTGAGAATGGAATTATTGCCCTTATAGAAAGGTCTTGAAGGAATGAGTTCACCCCTCCTATTCCTCTGTCCCTTCCACAATGTAAGGACACTGAACATACTGGTGCCTTGATCTTGGACTTCCCATCCTCTAGAACTGTTAGAAATAAATTTCTATTATTTGTAAATTACCCAGGCTAGGTATTTTTTATAGCAACCTGAATGGGCTAAGGCAAGACCCAATCATGCCTTTCTGTATATTTCCCCCAGTTTCCCCCAACCTCTCTCTCATCCCATTGCAATGAATAAGGTTTGGAGCCTCTCTTATTTTTTTAAAGAGGCCAAGTTCCTGTGTGCGCTTGACCAGTTGAGAGTGATGAACTTCTGTGAACTATGCTTCTCATTGAGTTAGTTATGTTGTCCTCTTGGCCTGCTCAGAACTTCGGCCTTGTCTGTATATTGGTTTTTCTATCTCCTGTGGGCTGAGGACACCTAGGAAGAGGAACTTAGTGTCTTCCATCTTTGTATCCACCATCTGGCAGAGCATGCATGGAACAAGTATCTGAAAAAGCAAGGGGTGGGAAGGATGACAGGAAGAAGTCTTGGCTTAGTGGTTCAGTTCCCTGGATCTGGTTGCAGATTGATAAAATGCACAGAAACAGAACTTCCAGGGAAGCTTCCTGGAAAGTCTTTATTCCAAGATGGAAACTCTTACATGAAAGCCACTGCAATGTTGGTAGGATCAGGATGGCCACCTACCCCAAGACCTGTCAAGATTGTGTCATTTCTTCATCGGATACTGAGAGTTTAGCTCTGACCCATGATACCGCATACCAGGTGGCCATCCTGAACAGGTCATGTGTCCAGGCTCCCCCAGTCCACTTGCTATCACTCCATGATGGCCCAATAATCATTCCCAGAGGACAGATCCTGCCACTCTCCTATTTAAGAATAAGATGCTCACTCCCAGCCCACCTCGTCTTCAAGGCTCTTCAACATTGCCTCTGGCCCCTTGCAACTCTCAGACTTCCTGCGACTCTCGGGCCAATCCTCTTATCACATCTTGCTTACTTCTACCTTCAGTCTTCCAATGCTTCTCTGCCAAAAGATATTCATCTGTTATCTTACAATGCAGTTAAAGTATCACTTCAAGAAAACTTCCTAAGGGACCACATCCAGCTCAGCTTTCCATACTTTGTATTCCCGCCTTGCTTGGGTGCCCCATCTGGACCACATCCTCCCCATCCTCCTCCTCCCCATCCATGCCCTCTGTCAATGAATCTTTAGAACCTTACCAGGCGCCAGGCTCAGACGTCCTAAGTGGTAGAGCTGAGATTCAAATCCAGGACTAAACAACAGAATACTGCCCCCTCCCGTGGCCAGGAGATCACTCTCTCCCTGATCTTGCATCCTCTTCCTTTCTTAGTGAAGAGAGAGCTGGCTTTGGTCAGAAAAGCAGGAGTCTTGCCAGTTGGGCTTCAGCCGCCAGGGGCCCTCTCTTCAATCGTTTCCATGGACCACTTTTGAAACAAAATCCCTGTGCAGGCCCCAGAGATGCCTTTCATGGAGTGCAAGACAGCAGCCTGGCTTCACAAAGGGACCCGAGCTCTGGATAGAAAGAGAGAAGCATTCTTCCCTCCTCATCCCGGGCTCCCTTGTACACTACGTGGGGACTCTCTCATGTTTTTCCCATTGTCGAGAAAGGGAAGAAAGGAAGCAAGTAAGGGAAAAGGAGGCAGTGGTGAGGAGAGGGGCCCATGGGCCACAACGTGCGTCACCACCCAGAGCCACAGCACAGTGGCTGGACTGAGGAGAGGATTGGGACTTGGATGCTGGGGCTGGTGCCCTACTTCCCAGCTAGTAGACATGTCAGCCTAATCCCGAGCTGGCCAGGCCTGTGGAGAAGGAATCTTTGGACGCAGGCCTGAGGTTTCGAGTTCACTCATAGTGGGTGACAAAAACGGGATGGTTATTTGTTTTATGGTAATGATCTCCACGAGGCTCCACACTCCAGGGCTGCGGTCGGCACGCCACACGGCAGGCCTTCCTCTGGGTGCGAGAGGATTTCCTTGGTTTGGTGGGATTCATTTGTTTTTTAAACGAGGCTGTTTATTTTCTCTTCTTTTAATGTTATGATTTTTTTTTTTCAGACTCACAAGGAGGATACATAATGTACAGCCGAATCTGCAATCTCCTATTTTGTCAGCTGCTTGTGTTGATTAAAACTTCAATAAAGATCCTGTGATAAAACAGAGCTATGTTCAAAGGATCTTGTTATGTTTTTAAAGGGCTGAGCTTGGCGGAAAAGATGTAGCGTATGGCTTTGCTACCTTGGCATTATCCCCCCTTTCCAGGTTAGAAAGGAAGCAAACTGGGGGAGAAACGGACAGTGATTTCTAGTACCTGTGGGATTGCTGGAGGAACATGTTTAACTAAATCCCAAATAATAAGCAAGGTCCAATCTAAAGGATATGAACATTGTTTATCGAGCTGGTGTTAAATGTGTGACCACTGGCTCTCTCCTCCCATAGGTCTAACTGACAGCCTCTCTCTGCAAAAGGTCTCAGCCTGACACCGAGGGAGAGGAAGGCAAGCCACAGGCAAAGTGAGGTCACAGAACTCCAGGAATTCCAGACCCAGTGATTCACCCAGCTCACCCAAGATGATCCATTCCAGCAAGACTCCACTGAACTGCCAGTTAGCACATTGTTCTTAAGACCAAGGACCATTCAAGGTTCTCAGGGGAGAGGCGTCAGTGGTGCCACCTACTCCCCCACCCTCCCAGCCCCCTTCCTCCCAGACAGCCCATTCCTGGCAGCCGCTGAAGTTTCCCAACTCTTTTTCTGAAAGAGGCCAAGAAATGGATGTGTGCAAAAATCAGACTAGCCGAAGTCGCTGACTTTATGCAAAGCAGGCAAGTGCAGTCAAAACACTTACAGCAATCAATTCGAGTTGTTGGGTAAAGTTTTTTCCATGTCCCATACATTATTGAACAGTTAATTTCGTCTTTGTGCCTGCTAGACATTCCAGCTCTCAGATGACAGCTTTATCCATTAAGGAGCGCACGGTGACAGCCGTACAGCAAGAGCCTTGCCAGCCCAGCCTGCCGGGAGGCGCGCCTGCAGCACCACCGAGAAATCCCGGGACACATCAACATCTTAATCAATATGCGAGAGTCAATTACCGGGGAAGTGAGGGCTTAAGCAGGAGCTGATGATGAGGTTCACGTGCAAATGGGCTTGATCAATACGCAGCTGAATCTCACACGTGGACTCGCATCAGCCCTCCCAGGGCACCCAGCCCCCGACTCGCGGGCCAGCCATGCCCTCTCCCATTCTCGTTTCCAACCCGCCAATCACCTGTGTTACTGGAGCTTCTTTGATTCATTCCTTTGATGGATATATTGGGAACAGAGAAGCAGGGTTGTGGGAAACAACCAAAGCCTGATGACTGATGCCATGGAGGGTTCTGGAAAGAGCCTGGATGGGCTCACTCAAAGATCAAGAGAAAATGTTTCTGCAAAGATGGCAGCTTCTCTCCATATTCACACTCCTTTTCCTCACTTCTCAAAGGAAAAACCAATTCTGCTTCTGAGGGAACAGTATTTCTGTTTTTACAGATGAGACAGCTGAGACTCAGAAAGGCCAAGCACTGAGGGCTGCACAGATAGTGAATTCAAAGCTGGGACTTGAACCAAGGTCTTTAGATACCAATATCTGCTTAATCTAATAGAGTCAGATAGCTAAGGGTTAGTTAGAGGACTGCAAAAATATGAGAGCCATGAACTAACAAAGCAAAAGGGAAAAAATGTTTTTTTGGTTGCAGCTGGAATTTCAAATTGGACCTTGGAGAGTAGAGAATGATTTGACAGAGGTCGGGGGAGGGGACCCACGTGTCTAAAGAGCAGTGTGGGGCCATGTAAACAAGTGGGGAGGGAGGCGCTGACAGGAGATGAGGCAGATGGGCAGGGCAGGGCAATGCTATCTGAGTCAAGTTAATAACTGCTTTTGGAACACCAAGGCCAGGATGAAGACTTCGGACTTTATCCTCTAGGGAAGCCTTTTCTAAACTAGTCTGCTATAGAACACTCACCTCTAAGGTGCTTCACAAAATAGAGGGCCTCAGGATCAAGGACATCTGGTTGGTCCCAAGTCATCTCCTCAAAAAGTCACACTGCACTCTAGCACCTCATCACACTTTGAGAAGACCTGCAATAAAGACATGTCTTTAGTTTCCTGTAACCCAGTATACACCCATAAACACCCTTTGGATCTTCCTTGAAGAAGCCTCCCTGACAAGCTAACTAGATGAGGTTATCTTCCCTTTCAGGGGCTTCCATAATTGCTCTGAACTTTTCTTCAAAACATTCATTATCGGCAACTTTTATTCAATGTCTACTTTTTTATGAGACTGAAAGCTCCATTAGTCTGTCTTGTCCCCTTCCTGGCACAGAGCAGACTTGCACCCCTCCAATGAGGGTGTGTGTGTGGAATACTCTAGGAACACAGTTTGGGTAAGGGTGCTGTCCTGGAGAACCACTGCAGGTCAGTTCTTGCTCAATATGGCAACACGGCATCTTCACAAGGTGAGCTCTGGATGAAGCTAGGGAAATCATGGTGCCAGGGAAACCAGTCCAGGAGAAAGGCGGTGAGGAGTTTGGTGGACTGGGAATAGACCAAGGCTGATGACTTCAAGAGACATTTCTTAGGAAGAACTGATGGGAGTCCGCCTGATTGGTACAGAGTATGGAGTAGTTGTGTGTGTGAACTCTGGAGAAGGACAGACCAAGATCTAATTGAAACCCACCTCTTGTAGCTCCACACACAGTAGAGTGACCTTGGGCCAATCACTTTCCATCTCTGAGCTTGTTCCTCATCTATAAAATGGGAATCATCATCATCATAATAATTATATCCGTTTCATAGAATTGTGATGATGGTTCAATAAGACTATGAACTCAAATGAGACAGAGCACATGGCACATAGGAAGAATCCAATTAAAGTTGGCCATTATTAATAAATGGCAACTTTTGCTAATATTAAGAAATACAGGAGAGTGGGGATGGTTTTAGTATTTCAGATTAGGTAATTGGCAAATTGGGGACATTGGCTAAAATATAGAACTCTGGGAGGAAAAGGGTTTGTTTGGGGGTATGTCGAGTTTGAAGTGAGGCCATCACATTTCAATATCCCACAAGCAGCTGGGCACACAGGACTGAAACTCTAAGTAGAGGTCAGCATAGGGCGTAGAGATTAGCACAGAGGTCATGATGAGCAACTCTAGAAAGGAAATAGAAAGAAAGGGCAGAGAGCAAGGGGCTGCCTTGGGCAGCTGCCTTATTTTGAGAGTAGGACAAAACCTGAGCTCATTGCTGTTGCAAGAGGATGCTGTGGTTCTCAGGTTGCCTTAGACAGTTGAGTAGCATCTCATCAGCCTGGGTTAAGGAAGGGCTGCTATACGGGCTAAAGCTTAAGTGGTACTCACAGGAGATGTGGAAAGTTCCCGTGGCAACATCTTATTGAAAATCCTCACCCCAGTTATTTTCCATTCCTGCTGAGACATCCCTGTGTCCCTCAGGTTATGATATAAATATTTTATGAAGTATAGAGGGTTGAGATATCTTAACACTTTAACTGAAAACTCATTTTTTTTTTCTGAAAGTTAAAGGATGTATTTTTCACTTGCAAAAATGTGAAACTCTAGATTGGACAAAGAAATGGATCTGTCGTATTGCAGTATTTTATGCAATGCTTCTTAGGGTTTCAAAGTCCTTAAGGTACTACTAAGAATACCATTCCTTTCTCCATGAGGTTTTTAAGTTTCATCATCCAAGTTTAAAATTGGGTAAGGATTAAGCACAGTGTACCAAACATAGTAGGCATTCAAAACATGTGTCCTCTTCCCTTTTTACATGATGAGGTTGAAATGTGGTCTACAGACTCAAGGAGATGAGTCATCTAAGATATTTCCAAACTAGACTAAACTCCATGACCAGAGGTTAGGGAAGAAAAGAAAGAAGAAACTTGATTAGAAGCAGTCGAGTAAAAAAGATATTCTGAAAGATGACCAGAGAACTCTTTGTGATGGAGTGAAATTGTAGGAGCCCAGGGTAGAAAGGATGAACCATAGTTCATGAATGGGGTGTAGACCTTGAGACTTACAAAGGGATCCTTTAGCTAACTGCTCAGAAAGAGTCGAACGGCCTTTGTCAAGCCAAGTTTTGGCAAAACCATCTGAGCTTCAACTTTCTGTGCATGGCAATCACCCTATAATGAACGAGAAAATGTGAAATGACTGAGGAATGAAAGTCGCCAGGCTACATTGATGCTGCGCGTGTTCACCATCTCCACAGAGCTCTGTGTGTCTCGAGTCTTGATCCTACTTCTTTATTATACCTGTGGCTTATGAAATTAAGCAGTTTTTTTTTTATTTCAGCATGTTATGGGGGTACAGATGATTAGGTTACGTATGATGCCTTTACCCTCCCTCCCCCCCAAGCCCAAGCTTCAAGTGTGTCCATGCCCCCGGAGGTGCGCATCGCACTCATTGTTTGTGCATATGCCCGTCCCCTCCTCCCCTCTCCCCCCTCCCCCCTCCCCCTGCCCAACACCAATACGTGTTATTCTTATACGTGCACTTAAATGTTGATCAGCTAATACCAGTTTGATGGTGAGTAGATGTGGTGCTTGTTTTTCCATTCTTGGGAAATTAAGCAGTTTTAGGGAAACATGGTTTCTGGTACCAAAGAGCATCCCACTAACTCGAAGTCTGTGTCCTGGTCTTGGTCAGCCTTCATTTTTATCACAAGGGGGTGGGTAACGTGAGAAAAAAAAATTGGCCCTGTAAAGGGATCCGGAAAGAATGACATATTTGTCTGTTAAGTATAAATATGAACAGCCATGGAGATATGGTCCTGTGGTGCTAGGTTTTCACTCCAGCAACATTCATCTATTGCCAGGAAACGCTAGATTTAGTACCTGAGGGACTGGAGTTTCAAATACCTTATACTTTTTTTTTTAATACTCTGCCAAGAATTTAAATTGGTAAAAGCTGGGGACTGACAAAACTTGATCCCCAAGAGCTCTTCTGGCACTGGTTTATCAGAGAATATGGTGCCATTATTTTTATTATAATTATTATTTTTTTCTTTGGTGGGGCGAGAGCTCATTTATAACCCAATGACTTCTACTCCCAGATGTATTTTTCTTTTTTTAAAAAAAATCCCAATGCTTAAATAAACAGAGGCTTTGCCT